ATTATATTTAGGAATTTAATTATTGAACTAATCGTGAATTAAAAATTATTTCTAAATATTGATATATATACGAAACACTATGGAAAATTTTGTATTGAAATACATAGATTTAATATTAATTACAATATTATTTATTATTCCAAGTGATTTGATTTATCATTATTATTATTATTATTCGTTGTAATATATATATGTTAGTTATTAAATTAATATTAATTTATTTAGATTATTATTATTATTATAACTTGATATTACTGTTTTTTAGATATATTCATCGTTTTAATTAATTATTTAAATATTGATATAATATATAATAATTTCAAATTGGATATACGAATTGTAATGAGAAAAAAAAAATAGAGATAATATTTTAAAGAAAATAATAAATAATAAATCTAACAAAACACATGAAAATAGAAAATGTTCGTTCCTCTCTACTATATAATTTTTTCTTTCATAACTCGAACACAATTTCTATACTTCGAATATCGATTCAATCGAGTCTGTTTACTTGTTTGTTTATTTGTTTGTTTGTTTGTTCGTTTGTATAGAGATTTGTTAGATTTGTTTTGAAAATTTGACGAAGAATACTAGCAGCAGCAGCAGCAGAAGAGGGGGGGGGAGAGAAACGGAGACGTGACAAGCGGATTCCCCCCACCCCACCCCACCCCCCATCGAAAATAAAGTACAGTGAAGGACCCCTACTTTTCTTCATCCATTCAACACACATATACACGAATAATATATACCCGTTTGTGTATGAAAAACATAGACAAATATTTCGATATTTTTTATGTTTAGATGTATAGGTGGTTATGGGGGTTTATTAGATAACCAACATAGTATATATTTATATATATTAAATTTATATAAAAATAAATGAATATAATAATTTGTTAATAAATCATATTGTTCTGTATGTAAATTAAAATTTCTTCTTCCTCCCCCTCGCAACCCCTCAAAAGAAAAAAAAGAAATAAATAAAAGAAAAGAATTACTTTTTCTCATAAAATTATTTGACCAATAATTTTTATCGACGAAGTTATTATTAAACATCCCACCATTACGTTAAAAATTGTTTAAGAAAAATTTTAATTTCTTAGTTTGATTAGAAAAAAAAAACATATATACACACACACATACATCTATTTAA